TGTTGCATTTGCTTTTCTTTCTCTATGTTCATTAGAGTTTGCAAGATTGAATCATGAATTTTTCAAAACCTCAGTCCAAGTGTGTGAGATTGATTCAATGATAATTCATTCATGGATAAATTCAAGGAAAAATTCGACCTAATATTGATCATGATAAGTCATTGCAGGTTATGGACCATTTTGAAGACAAATGTGAATCCAATTCAAAGTGTGGTATGGGAACTCATCATTGTGATCAAACTTTGTTTTCAATTAGGGTTTTAGTTCAAAAATCAAGTTCCTTATGATTCAAGTGGCCGTATGTTCAAGCTTGTTTCATTTTTGGATCCATTCCTCGAGAGATGACCTCTAACTATAAGGCATGGTCATTTTTGGATCCATTCCTCGAGAGATGACCTGAAACTCAAAAAATGTGGATTATAGTTCATCATGGTTTAAGTGGCAAGATATGCACTACTCATATCCAAATGCTTTTTCAAGATTGATTCAAATGTGATTTCAAAATGGTTCTATTTTAGTCGTAAGATCAAATTCAAGCGTGACCACCATTTTTTTGTCATTAAGCATTATCCAAGGTTTCAACCACAATTTAAAGATTCATTATTCATGGTTTTATCATACAAACAAGTTCAAGGCTTTCAAGTTCAAATTCAAGTTTGGTTTATGATGTCAAATGCATGCCATTTCTATTCAAAATTCCAAGTAATTGTTATGCCATTCAAAGTCCAACCATCCATTCTCCATCATTTTGGAGACATGATTCAGGCTTGTTTCAAGTACATAATTAGTGCACAATTGGTGGTTTGATTCAAAAATAAAAATACACCATCATCAAGAAAATAAAGGGGTTATCATTAAGAAGGCCCAAATTCAAGTTGCAAATGGTCAAAAAAACAAGGCTATTGGAATTAAAATACAATCTAAAATTAAAATTCAAGACACAGCAAATTGATAACAAACTTTGAATCAAGTTCTTGAACTACCTTTGAATCACTCTATAAAACGAATACAATTCAGTGTAGCGTAAATACTCCTCACCTTATACGCACAAAACCACAATCACTGCTCATCTTCAATAACATCCTCACTGCAAGAATTTCTTCACCTGTAAATTCTCTCTGCAACAAATCACAACACAACTATATACAACCACAAACCAATTTCATGACAACAAGACGCAACACATTCCTCTCAACAATAATACAAACTCAACGCTCAACTACATCAGCAAGCAGAACGCAAAGAAGTTACATACCTGAAGGTTTCTCTTGTTAAATTCGTTGTAGATCCACTTTGATTTTTGATTCAGTTTGCATATCTGGCAAGGAATCGAGAAAAATGTTGAGAGTTTTGAAACAAGGAGAGGTAGATGAGTCTACGGCGTGAAGCTTGTTGAGTTTCACGCTCCATCGCCGCCGGCAATGAGCTTCGGCGCGGCGGAGGTTTTATGTTTCCGGCGAGTGTTTTGAGAGAGAAAGGTTGTAAGCGTGATGTTTTTTGTTGCGAGGCTGAGTGTTACGCTATAGTTTCACTTTTTATAATGTTTGTAATTATTTATTTATTATTATTATTATTATTATTATTATTATTATTATTATTATTATTATTATTATTATTTTTGTTTAGTTTTGCTTTTTACCATTTGGGGTTGATGAAATTTTGAGTATTATTGAGTAATGATCTCTAGGTTGATTGAACCTTAAACACTTCAAACATGTTGATGAATGATCATTGAATCATTCTTGACACTTTGAAGTGTTGATAGGTTGACCTTAGTTGATCATATTTTGAATCTCTTAATCATAAATGAGACCATTGTGAGGACTTGAGCTGGATTATACTTTTTTCATCATCTATTTTCTCATTGTGTTGCATATTTTAGGAGAATATTATGTGTTATTTCTCTAACATGTTTGAATGCATAAATTCTTATTAACCGACCTCAGATAGATGTGGCTTCCACATAAGCCCACTTATGATTTCTTAACATATCGCTAAATTATCCTGATGCGATTAATCGATCACTAACTACTAACTTCTAACCTTTACATTGTCGCACTTTATTTTATCGCAATTTATCTTCTCGTCATTTACTTTCTGCGATTTACTTTATTTCTCATTTATCATTCATGTCTTTACTTTATGTCCTTTTCTTCCTTTTGATAAAATGATAAAATGATAAAATGAAAAAAAATAAAAAATATGATTATCTAATGGTGACTTAAAAAATGGATTGTGGACTGTGCAAATGACCTTAGCATCATGGAGTTTTGGACTTAATGTTTGACCCTAGCAAAAGGAGACTTGGATTGAGACTCTTATTTTTATTGTCTAGCTTAGGACACTTTGCACACACACGACTTTCTCTTGGGCTACCTGATAATGAGACCGTTTATTTCTCGCATCAAATTCCCTTGTACTTCTCATGTACCCCTCTCCTCTTTTGGATGTACTTTCTTTACTTTCTCCTTTTCTTTGGTTGTGGTTTCGTTTGCTAGATATCCTTAGGAACTAGGATCGACCTCATCATTTTCTCAAACCCTTGATCTAACATCAAGTGGTATTTTCCTAATAAAACCATTGATCCAACGTCAAGTGGATTTTTTCTCAATAAACTTCAAAACACTCCATGATATCAAACCACTTTAAAAAAGGATGAAATAATTCTCGATTCAATGTCGGGCCCATTTTAACACTTTTGTAAGTCGATCGCTTTTAGCATCGCCATCAACCAAATTCAAATTATTTTCGAAATTACTTAGATGAAAAATAGAGTGGTCTAGAGCCTTCTATTTCCTTTCTCGATTGCTTGGATATGAGTAGCCTTACTCGGCCATTTGAGTATTCGCTGTCCATTCAAAATACCTTAACAATATTCAAATCCTTTCGCAATTAAGAATGAAAAGGGAGATGGTCTAGAGTCTTCAATTCCTCTCCTCGATTATTCAGATATAAGTTTCCTTACTCAACCATCCGAGTAATCGTCATTCAAATAAAACATTCAACATATTAATTCAACCTCTTTCCCCCGTGCGATTAAAACTTTTTCTCAAAAGAAGAATGCTTAGTCTCTTCTAACGCGCATACAAACTAAATGTTTAAGCCTCCGCCGAGAGTAGACAAGCTAATATTTAGCCCTTAGAACGCGATTTAAACATTTGTTCGATAAAACGAACCAACAAGTCGTAGTCCCCCGAACTACGACGCCCTGATTTCCTTATTGAACTATAAGGATACATAGGCACGAGATTGCGAAGTCTTAGCGACCAACCATTTCCCCCCAAAAGCAAGTAACCTTTAGATAATGACACACATTTGCGCGTAGACAACTTAGATGATTCTCATTGAGTACAAGGGTGTGAGGGGTGCTAATACCTTCCTCTTCCATAACCGACTCCCAAATCCGATTTTGGTTGCCATGATCATATCCTATCCTTTCTTATCCCTTTTTATTTATGGGTTTTATCAATATTTTCCCTTTCCCTCTTTGTGAATAAATAAAGTTCGGTGGCGACTATGTTCAGTCCATCCCGCGAGCGTGCGATTGCACATCGCGAGACCGTCTCTCATTTTTCGAGGTACGATAAAGATATATTAAACTTACAATGAAAAAATAAGACATACGACAAAATATGCAGTTGATCCAAATATTTGTATATAGGAAAGTAAGACATATTAAACTCATAATGATCCAAAAATAATATTTACATACGGGAAAATATATCGTTGATCCAAATATTTGTATATAAGAAAAAATTATATTTATGATCCAATTATAAATAAAAATGTCTATCTTTTAAAAAATAAATTCGTTTGGTTAAGCAATTTTGTTTTTCTCTCTTTTCATTTTTATTATATTTTGAAAACAAATGCACGTAACATGTCAGTACCATACAATACACGGGTTTTCAGAATTTAAATAACGCTACTATACAAGCACCCCGGCGTAGCCACATGTTTAAAAAAATTATATGAATGGGGCAAATAAAACTACTAATCAAAATATTAAATATTATAAATTTATCAATTCAGTATATACTTAACAAAAATATATTATTGATCCAAATATTTTTAAATGGTCTTATTTTAATAAATGAGAATAACTTTAGAAAAACAAAAATAATGTCAAAACATAAATAATATTTACATACAGAAGAAAAATGTTATTGATTCAAATATTTTTATATGCGGAAAAAAATTATAGACATCAATTTATTCTGTTTTAAAATAATAATTTTTTTTGGTTGTACAATTTTATCTTTTATTTATTTTATTTTTATTACATTTTAAAAACAAATACGTATATAATGTCAGAATTCGTGCGAACACACAAATATTCCACTAGGTTTAAATTAGAACTACAAATATTATCATTAATATTTTTTATGAAGTTGATCAATTATAAAAAATAAATTTTGAACAATTCATAATTTATTATTTTTTTAAAACACCAAATTAAAATAATTATAACGAAAATATAAAATTTTTGATAAAAATATTGAGTGATAATATGAACAAATTTATTATTTGATTCAGTCTTCAAAAATTATTTAATATGTATTGAATACTTTTTAACCATTTTATGATTATACTATAATTTTTTTCGTTTACCCGTGCTCTTATTATTTGTTTTATAGAAAATTTATATTACATCAATACCAAATACGTGTACCGCATTACTAACTTTGCGTCCGAACGGATATCCGACTATTGTCAAAACTAAAAATATTAAAGAAATTCAAAATATTTAGAGAAATTTTTTTGACAAGATAGAAACTTGGCAAAAAAAAATATTTATAGAAATTTAAAACTTATTTAACTCTTAAATTAATAAACTCTCTATAAGCTTTGATTTAACTATGCCACGTGTACCAATGGTTACACCTATTGTCGCACGACACAAAAGAAACTCTCACTGCAAAATCAATTCCGATATTCTTTTCACTCTCTCACTCACTTTTTACCATCATTCAGATCAGCGACGCCACAAACCCACGAAAATGGCTGACACCGATCACGGCGGCGATCGGCGAAAGAATCGGAACCTCCGTTCTTCAAACGGACACTGCCGCATTGTTATCCTTTTCCTCACTTTCCATTCAATCGTCAACCTCGTCGGTGCTTCCATTCACGACTACCAAAACGAAACCTTTATCCGTCGAGCTAATTCGTTTTTCTTCCATGGTGGTAGTGAAGGTCTTTACGCTTCTAAACCTATCTCCTCCAATAACTCTTTGTCTTCTCAAGATAACTTCCCCACTGGTAAATCCTTCATCAGGTACTATTACTAATGCTTCTACATTTTCTATTTCTTAACCATTTTGAAATCTTTGATTTGATCTATTTCTTGCCACATTTCGATTGTTTTTTTTGTTATATGTTCTGGAAGCCCCAATTTTGGTAAATGTGAAATGTTGATTGAGTAAGTGCCTATGATGACATGAACATTTTGATTTGCTTATCATTTGCATTTCAATTTAATGAAATTGTACCTCAAATGTCATTGTCATTTTGGATTCTGTTCGAAACCAGTAATAGTTTGATAAGTGAATGAAACCGCAGGGGTTGGCCAAGCTTGAGTCCTGAGACTGTGCTCCTCTCAAGATCTCAGGTTCGAATCCCGCTAGGTGATAACAATTCCTGTGTTGGGTTAGGTCAATAGCTCTGGTTTTAAATGGGCTCCCGCAAGTGGACGGTGAGATTGGTCCTCTTGAATTAATCGGTCGCAAGGCTTGATACCAAGTTTTCAAAAAAAAAGTGATTGAATACAATGCAACCACATATTTCAATGTCATCTGAAGTTCCAATTTAGGTCATAGTATTTCACACATTAATAAATGAAGAGCCTAATGTGACATTTAATATGGATAAGAGGGTATCATATTTATTAGAACAGACATCGAGTGATAACAAAATAGAAATAGCATAGCATTGGTCTAAAGCCTTTCTCTTGTATTGAGAAAATCTAGTTGGAAGAGGAGAACTCACCTTATATGTCACATTGTTACAAAAACTAAAGACTCTTTGTTAGTAAATTTAAGTTGATCAAATATGGCATAGGTAAGAAGAGTTTTAAATTTTTATATGCTAATGTTTATGTTAGGTTTGAGTCTATAAACTTTCGAAGAACAAAAGAGTCTGCTCAGATGGCAAGTGCGATGCAGCAAAAGACAGGTTTGGTTGAAGCTATAATAATTAGGGTGAAGGATAGGAAAAACATTGGGGGTGTTTCATTGAACTCTGATGCTATATGCTGCACTCCAGAGCTTGCTAAAGAAGGTTCTTGTAAGTTAGGAGAGGTTATCATCCGTGAGAACACCGATGACCCGAATGGGCCAAAACGCTTGCAGACATTTTTTGAAGGACAGAATGAAGAGGCTAATATGGGTATTCAAACTGTTGGCATCAATAGTACTGGAATGTATTATTTGTATTTCATGTTTTGTGATCCTCAATTAAAGGACACTGTGATTTCCGGAAGAACTGTTTGGAGAAATCCAGATGGTTATTTACCAGGGAAGATGACGCCATTGATGACATTTTATGGTTTGATGTCTTTGGCTTACCTTTTTCTCGGTCTTGTCTGGTTTCTCTGGTTTGTACGGTATTGGAAAGATATGATCCAATTGCATTACCACATTACTGCAGTTATTGGCCTTGGCATGTGTGAAATGGCCTTGTGGTATTTTGAGTATGCAAATTTCAATTCAACGGGAAGCAGGCCGATGATAATTACAGTTTGGGCTGTGACTTTCACCGCTGTCAAGAAGACAGTGTCGCGGCTTCTTCTTTTGGTTGTTTCTATGGGCTACGGAGTTGTCCGTCCAACGCTTGGTGGTTTAACCACAAAAGTTCTTCTTCTTGGTGTGGTGTATTTTGTGGCCTCAGAAGCACTTGAGCTGGTGGAACATCTCGGCAATATTAATGACTTCTCTGGAAAAGCTAGGCTTTTCTTGGTGCTGCCTGTAGCTCTGTTGGATGCTTGCTTTATTCTTTGGATCTTTTCATCATTATCTAAAACCTTGGAGAAGCTTCAGGTAAGTTAATATGCATTGATGTGCATTAATATGCAAACTGTCTTTTATAAGCTATAAGCTGTTTTCATTAGCTATCCTGGAGAGCTTATGGAAATCAATTGAAAACAGCTTATGGAACAGTCTCACAAGCACTTATGCTAGTAGGTAAGCTCAAAGTACACTTAGGAAATATCTTCAGGATGCTAAGCATAAGTCAATCTAAACAAGCACTAAGTACACTTGGGAAATATCTTGTGTGTTTTTAGAAATTATGGTGCTCCTAGGATGGATTAAAAGCCACTAACTGTGGAATGTACAGAGCTTCAAACTAAGATGTTTTTTTGGAGATTCTTGTACATTTCCCCTCTCAAATTGAAAAATAAATTCTATTTTGGTAGCATGGTGGTCAAATTAAAATGATTGTGTTGTTTCCATTTGTTGATTATATGTACAGATTCGGAAAAGTACAGGAAAACTTGAGTTGTACAGGAAATTTACAAATTCTCTTGCAGTGACGGTTCTGCTATCAGTAATATGGATTGGTTATGAGGTAGTCTTTTGTTTCTTTACTAATTTCTTTCTTCCTTATTTCCCCCTCAACACGTTAAATTCGACTAACTTGTCAAATATTCCTAGGAGATTAGCTCCTGATTAACCAGGAGAAATGTATTGTTCATAATTTTGGTTTATTTATTATTCTGATAATAACTACTATTATCTCATCTCAGGAACTGATTTATTCTTGTTTCAGTTGTACTTCAATGCGTCAGACCCTTTAGGTGAACTGTGGCGAAGAGCTTGGGCGATCCCGGCTTTCTGGACTCTGCTTTCTTATGCTCTCCTGATACTGATCTGCATTCTCTGGGTTCCATCTCGAAATCCAACCAGGTATAGTCTAGCTTTTCTACTGCCCACTCCTGGAAGCAAAAAACGTTAAAAAAATGTTGAACATTAAACAATTCTGACATAGTTTTTGAAATAAATTTACGCTTGGTTCTTTATGCCTATTAGAAAGGTATAAAATATTTATCATTTCATGAACATTCTAGCTTAATACTCAAACCAAAATCAATGAATATACTCCATGAGTTTTGAGGCTATAACTTATCATATGTTTGAAGGATGATTTTGAAATATAGACTTGCGGCCATAGTTTTAAATTGTGGTTAGGCTCCTTTATAATGCGGGAAAATGTGTGCAAATATGTTTGTTGTGGAGACTTTTAAACCAGTTAAATTGTGGATACAGTTCTGAATGCAGTCTGCAATCTAGAACCATGTTTGCAGCTAACTAGATTGAAAATCAGCTGATTATACTTGATTGTTACACTGACATATTGGGGTAATTTGATCGATGTAGTCGACCCCACTTAATGCCATAAGACTTGGTTGTTGTTGTTGTTACACTGGCATAACGAGTGACATTTTATGAGGATTCTTTTGTTGTTGCAGGTATTCGTACTCGGAAGAGACAGGGGATGACTTTGATGATGAGGCTGTCACAGCTGTTGGAAGTGGAGTTAAGGTCTCTGGAGAAATGGCTACCATGCTAGAAAGGAAAGATAGAAAGGTATCACTTACATCACTTGGAGATCATCATCATGTATTTGGAGTTATTGAAGATCTAGAGGAAGACAAGAGGGAGTGATTTGCTCCCAAATTCTTTAATCAGTGTCTCTTTCTTCACTTGGGAGGGCTTAAAAAGATGTCAACATGGAGAAGCAACATGAGAGAGGGAATGAGTTAAGATCATCATTATTCAATGGCCATTCAGCTTCTAAATTTGAGGTGGTTCTGTGAGTTTTCAGGATGGATATTCAGTTGACAGCAACCAAAATCTAACTGGTTGTGTGATTGGTAAGGTTGGCAGAAATTATTGCATAGTAATATTGTCCCTTGTAACTAGTTAGTTACCTCAGCATGGCTCAAGTAACTTTGAACCTAGTACAGTACTGCTTACCTTTTTATATGCTCAATTTGGGCATTGTTAAAGAAATTTAAGGAAGGAAAATGTTATCTTGTCATTTGAGATTAGTTAGTCTCTATGGAGATTATAATATATGGACGGGAATGCAATAAATTACATCTTATAAAAGAATCACTAAAAAGAAAAAGAAAAACCAAACAAAGGAGTACAAAGTCTTTATAGAGATATAACTATTTCAAAACCTTTTTATCTATTTGTGATTAATAGTGTGTAAATAAGTGTGACTAGCTCACAAAATAAAAGGTGATACACGCTCGCGCACACACATATATACACACACTTCATCTATTTCAAAACCTTTTTTAAAATCATTTTGACCGCTAATTATTCAATTAGGAAGTTTACTAACCAATTAAGATAAAAATCACTTATGTATTAAAATTTGTATCTAATCGATTAAGGAGTGAACCCACCACCAAATATATTAAGAACCATTTTAATTGATTATGTTCCATATCTGACTAGTTTGTTTCCAATTTTTCTAGGTATAACCGATTAGAGAACGACCTTTATTCATATATTATTTTATTTTTTGGCCAATTTTTTATCTTATATTAAGGAGTCATTGTGCACTATTTTAAGTACGAAAATATGATTTTATATTCTTCTCTACTACCCAATCATTTCTTAGAAATTATTTTTATACAAAATCATTTTTTTAGTGCTGAAAGATAAAAAAATTTAAAGAGTTGTATTGTAATTATAAATCCAAGAGTTTAATTTTCTTGTGACATTGTAAGTGATATAATAGTTTCAAGCTCAATGTTCGTAAAATCTAGGTGTAAGGAGGTTATGAATTGACAACTATTAGTAGAAATCTCAAGAAAATATTCTTGGAGATTGGATTAGGCCGTATGATTTAAGGCTAAAATATTATAAATCATGGTATGCACTTTCTTAAATTTTTTTTTTTATATTTGTGCAATTCATTTTCCACACTTAATTCTCTGCTTCATCTTATTTCTTAAATATTACCAAGCTAAAATCTATCTTTTTCGAAAAAGTTTTTAAAAACATATTACACAATTTATCCACTTTTTGTGTTTGAAGTTACTTGGTTAATAAATGATATATGAGTCTAATTCTTATTATAAGACTAATTTTCTTAGGAGGAGGAATGATAACTTCAAACTCTTTCTTTTATTTTCACTTATTTCATAAAAATGAAGTGGTTAATAAATCGAGAAATCTGTGGGTAAATAGGAAAAAGAAAAGGTGCAACATATTTTAAAACTACTTTTGGAAATTTAACTCAATTTAAAAATTTGTGGATACACTCTCTGAAAATGCAGTTGCTATATTTACTAAATTACAGGAAATACTGGGTGATTTTAAATATATCAAGAAACTCAAAGAAGAAGAACTTTGAAAAAAGATGAATTTCAAAATTACTCATAAGAAAACAAAAGGATCTTACGTGAGAAAGCAGCGATTCAAACTCATCTTATGAATTAGAATAAGAGGATGAAAACTCATCTAAAAGTATTTTTCTTTTCCCAAATTATGTTATATATATGCAAGGATCTCAATAAAGAAATAGATAGATTAGAAAAAGTTATATTTTTTTCAAAAAAATCATATTACTTCTTTAAAAAATGAGAAGAGAAACTTCTCGAAGAAATATACCAATTTATAAGTCAAGTCTTACATGCTAATTCTACTTTATTTGATAAAATTAATACTAAATGAGAAAATTATGAAATTCTGAAAGTTAAAATTGAAGATTTGCATGAAATCCTCAGTAAATTTATCAACATGTAGAGATAATTTAGACATGGTCTTATCTAATCAAAAGAGAACCTATAATAAAGTGTGTTTAAATTATCAACCTCATAATAATGTAAAATATGTCAATAAGGTTTTCCATTCTAAAAGGAAAATAACTCATAATATTTTTAAATGTAATTATTGTGGTAGAAATGACCATATTGCTCCGTATGTTTTAGTAAAATTCACACCTTAAAATGGACTTATATGTCCTCGTCTGATTTCTCAAAAAAATATGAGCTATCGTAAATCCACTAACACAAAAGGAAGTTGTGGAAAGATTTTGTGATAAAAGTTGAAAGTTGAATCTGAATAAAAATTTGGTGTAAGGAGGTTGTATGTTGATCCTGTGATAAAAGGTCAAGCTGTTAGCGGAAATCTCAAGGAGAAATTTATGGGAATTGGATTATGCAGTGAAATTCTGGTATGCATATTTCAGATGTCCCAAGCGATGTTAAGACATTGATCTCTGCCAAAACAGAACAAGGATAGAACATGACCATTTTAAATTCCTTTAAACATTAACAATGTCATGACATCAATTGTAACATCTGCAGACTGACAGAACTGTTTATCTAACCATTTAAATTGTGCAGAATTGTAAATGCAGTAATAGACAATCGATGTTACAGTGGATGTTATGACATCCACTTCTGGACAGATTATTAAACTCAGCAGTAAACAAGTCACAAAAGCAGTAAAGAACACAGGAAATTGTTAACCCAGTTCGGTGCAACATCACCTGCATCTGGGGGCTACCAAGCCAGGAAGAAAATTCACTATTAGCATAATTAATTCAGAGCTAAACTCCCAATTTACAACTCCTCACTTAATCTCTACCCAATGCAATTTCTGCCTAGAACCCACTAGACAAGAGACACCTCTCACTCCCCACAATCACATCAGTGATAAACAATTCAATACAAAAGAAAGACTTAAGAAGACACTCTTCAAAGTCACAATTCTTGATTTTGCTTAACAGCTTCAATCAAGAACAATACACTCTTACTTAAAAGTTTTGAGTGAACAATTAACACTGTACAAATAACAGCTTAAATATGTCTACCACGATGCATCCAAAGATACAAAGGGTGACTTACAAAGTTACACACAAGAGACTCTCAAAATCCTAAAACACAAAACCACACATGAAGATTAAGTTACACCAACAAAATTCTTCACCACACAATCTCCCAGTCTCTGTCTAAAAGCCCCAACGAATTAGGACTGCTACTTCTGTATATATAAGCAGCATACAGTCCTTGGACCTAGGTGTAGAAATTAGGTTTACCCAAGATAACCCTCTCTTCATGAAGTTGCGCACATCCAATTAGGTCAGGGGCATTCGATGTTATCCTCAGCAATGCCTGATATGTCGCCTGAGATAACTAGGCTTCCTAAAATGTTTCCTGAAGTATAGCCTGAGCTAATACCAGAAAACTTACACCCGCGTCCTGATGTCATACGCTTGATGTCATAACATCCAGCATGTCATCCAACTTAACTTGCTCTTAGCTATCCCAACATACCCTGCCGAACACTCTTGCAGAATCTTCTTCATAACAGTAGAAACAAATATATTATAGTTTCCTAAAAATTCTCAAAGATTCTTTTTATGGACACCAATTAAATATGCACTTTGTTCCTAATAAATCTCTTTGATCTGTACACACTAATGAGATATATCCAACAGGATCTCATCAAACCAAACCAGCTCTGTCAAGAGATATAAAATAGCAGCTCTTGCTGTACCAGATGGATGTCACGACATTTGTCTTGACATCTTGATTAAAGCACATGACAACAGTTCTATCACCACATCAGATGGATGTCATAACATCTTGCTTAGCATCAGTGCAGAATAATGTTTTACCAAAATTTAGCCAATCATAGAACCATGAACAATCATGGAACTAACAATCTCCCCCTTTGGCAAATTTTGGCTAAAACAACCAAACAAACTTATCAGGGCAGCAACAACAGTAGTTTTCTTCACATACATCCCACCTTACAAACTATCATGCTCCCCCTTACTAGTTGCATCCAACAAGCAACATAAAAACACTAATCTTCCCTTAGCAGTAGCATTAACACTTTACTCCCACTTTGTTTAGGCAAAAATTGAATAAAATGGAGTAAATGTGCATACATAAACTCAGATCCAAACTCAAAAACTGAATCAAAACCACAACCTCCACAGTAAAAACTCCACATAGTCATGAATCTTGAGTTCTTGTCTTGTCTGAAGCTAAGGATAATCAGCCAAATACTTGCCAAGTAGCAACTGATTTTAAATCCCCAAATTGAGACACAAGAAAATTCTACAGAGAAAAATAAATTCTCCCAGACACAAACCAATGTTGTTTCCTAGGTCATTCATAAGAACACAGTTTTACAAAGCCAGACCCACGTCACATTGTCAGGAAAAATTGCACCAGACAGCACAATGCCAGGACATCTTGTCTGACATTACAACCTCATCAATGGTTCAAGAACACAAGCTTGTCTGAGAATCATCAGACTTTGTACATAGCTCCACATCAGCACACAGTCACCATAAGCAATGCAGCTACACATCATACAAGTACACAGCTCCCCCTGTCATGCATACTCAGTACTCCCCCTGAAAGAGAGAACTCAAACACATGAAGACTTACTTCAACATCTTCATATTCACACACTGGAAACACATGCAACTCTGCACCCCTTGATTCACAACCCATACTAGAACAAATAGCAGAGGTAGTTGCAGGATTACTATCTGGAAGATTTCTCATATTCAGCTTTGAAAGACTAGAAACATCTCTAAAATGTCAGGGTTAAAGTCCTTCCATATGCACAAGATCAAGGCTAATGATGTCTTGATCTTCTTCTTCACCAGTCATATAATACAA